ACCAAATGTCTCTTTGTGAAACAGACATATAAAAGAAATCCTAATTTTGTAGGGTTTTATTACAAAAACTGTCAAAGTTATTTTCAGGAATAGGGAAAATACAATATACTAAGAAATTTACTCTGCACCAAAAATTATAATGATATCCCAATTTACCAATTTTAAGAACTTAAAACCTCTGAATAAGCGATATGTCAAAAGAAAGTGCAATTCTTATGGATAAAAATGAGGTATACAAAACTGTCGTAGCTTGAAAACTGTCAAAGTTATTTGCAGGAATAGGGAACATACAATATACTAAGAAATTAACTCTGTACCAAAAATTGTAATGATATCTCAATTTTACCAATTTTAAGAACTTAAGATTTTTGAAGAAGCGATGTGTCAAAAGAAAATGAGGTACGCAAAATCCTCGTAGCTTGGAAACTGTCAAAGTTATTTTCGGGAATAGGGAAAATACTAAGAAATTTTCTCTGTACCAAAAATTGTAATTATATCCCAATTTACCAATTCTAAGAACTTAATATTTTTGAATAAGCGATATGCCAAAAGAAAGTGCGTTTCTTATGGATTGAAATGAGGTATACAAAACTGTCGTAGCTTGAAAACTGTTAAGTTATTTGCAGGAATAGGGAAAATACAATATACTAAGAAATTTACTCTGCACCAAAAATTGTAATGATATCCCAATTTTGCCAGATAATACAATATACTAAGAAATTTACTCTGTACCAAATATTTTAATGATATCCAGTTTTACCAATACTAAAAATTTACTCTGTACTAAAAATTTGAATGATATCCCAATTTTACCAATTTTAAGAACTTAATATTTTTTAATAAGCGATATGTCAAAAGAAAATGCGTTTCTTATGGATTAAAATGAGTTATACAAAACTGTCGTAGCTTGAAAACTGTCAAAGTTATTTAAAGGAATAAGGAAAATACCATTTACTAAAAAATTTATCCTATACAAAAATTGTAATGATATCCCAATTTTACCAATTTTAAGAACTTAAGAATTTTGAATAAACGATATGTCAAAAGAAAGTGCGTTTCTTATGGATTGAAATGAGGTATACAAAACTGTCATAGTTATTTGCAGGAATAGGGAAAATACAATACAAAATTTACTCTGTACCAAAAATTGGAATGATATCCCAATTTTACCCAATTTTAAGAACTTAAACTTTGAACAAGTGATATGTCAAAAGAAAGTGCGTTTGTTATGAATTAAAACGAGGTATACAGAACTGTCGTAGCTTGAAAACTGTCAAAGTTATTTGCAGGAGTAGGGATAATACAATATACTAAGAAATTTACTCTGTACCAAAAATTTTAATGATATCACAATTTTACCAATTTTAAGAACTTAGGACTTTTGAAGAAGCGATATGTCAAAAGAAAGGGGGTTTCTTATGGATTAAAATGAGCTACACAAAACTCTCGTAGCTTGAAAACTGTCAAAGTTATTTTCAGGCATAGGGAAAATACAATATACTAAGAAGTTTACTCTGTACCAAAAATTTGAATGATATCTCAATTTTACCAATTTTAAGAACTTAATATTTTTGAATAAGCGATATGTCAAAAGAAAGTGCGTTTCTTATGTATTAAAATGAGGTATACAAAACTCTCGTAGCTTGAAAACTGTCAAAGTTATTTGCAGGAGTAGGGAAAAAATAATATAATAAGAAAATTTACTCTGCACCAAAAATTGTACTTATATTCCAATTTTACCAAGTTTAAGAACTTAAGATTTATGAAGAAGCGATATGTCAAAAGAAAGTGGCTTTCTTATGGATTAAAATGAGGTATACAAAACTCTCATAGCTTGAAAACTGTCAAAGTTATTTGCAGGAATAGGGAAAATACAATATACTAAGAAATTTACTCTGTACCAAAAATTGTAATGATATCGCAATTTTAAGAACTTAATACTTTTGAATAAGCGATACTTCGAAAAAAGTGCGTTTCTTATGGATTAAAATGAGGTATACAAAACTGTCGGAATAGTGAAAATACAATATACTAAGAAATTTACTCTGCACCAAAAATTATAATGATATCCCAATTTTACCAATTTTATGAACTTAAAACCTCTGAATAAGCGATATGTCAAAAGAAAGTGCGTTTCTTATGGATTGAAATGAGGTATACAAAACTGTCGTAGCTTGAAAACTGTCAAAGTTATTTGCAGGAATATTGAAAATACAATATACCAAGAAATTTACTCTGCACAAAAATTGTAATGATATCCCAATTTTACCAATTTTAAGAACTTAAGATTTTTGAATAAGCGATGTGTCAAAAGAAAATGAGGTACGCAAAACCCTCGTAGCTTGGAAACTGTCAAAGTTATTTTCGGGAATAGGGAAAATACTAAGAAATTTTCTCTGTACCAAAAATTGTAATTATATCCCAATTTTACCAATTCTAAGAACTTAATATTTTTGAATAAGCGATATGTCAAAAGAAAGTGCGTTTCTTATGGATTGAAATGAGGTATACAAAACTGTCGTAGCTTGAAAACTGTCAAAGTTATTTAAAGGAATAGGGAAAATACCATTTACTAAAAAATTTACCCTATACCAAAAATTGTAATGATATCCTAATTTTAACAATTTTATGAACTTAAGACTTTTGAATAAGCGATATGTCAAAAAAAACTGCGTTTCTTATGGATTGAAATGAGGTATACAAAACTGTCATAGCTTGAAAACTGTCAAAGTTATTTGCAGGAATACGGAAAATACAATATTAAGAAATTTACTCTGTACCCAAAAATTTTAATGATAATCCAATTTTACCAATTTTAAGAACTTAGGATTTTTGAAGAAGCGATATGTCAAAAGAAAGTGGTTTTCTTATGGATTAAAATGAGGTACACAAAACTCTCGTAGCTTGAAAACTGTCAAAGTTATTTTCAGGTATAGGGAAAATACAATATACTAAGAAGTTTACTCTGTACCAAAAATTTGAATAATATCCCAATTTTACCAATTTTAAAAACTTAATATTTTTGAATAAGCGATATGTCAAAAGAAAGTGCATTTCTTATGGATTAAAATGAGGTATACAAAACTGTCGTAGCTTGAAAACTGTCAAAGTTATTTGCAGGCATAGGGAAAATACAATATACTAACAAATTTACTCTGTACCAAAAATTGTAGTGATATCCCAATTTTAAGAACTTAATATTTTTGAATAAGCAATATGTCAAAAGAAAGTACGTTTCTTATGGATTAAAATGAGGTATACAAAACTGTCGTAGCTTGAAAACTGTCAAAGTTATTTGCAGGAATAGGGAAAATACAATATACTAAGAAATTTACTCTGTACCAAAAATTGTAATGATATCCCAATTATACCACTTTTATGAACTTAAGACTTTTGAATAAGCGATATGTCAAAAGAAAGTGGCTTTCTTATGGATTAAAATGAGGTATACAAAACTCTCATAGCTTGAAAACTGTCAAAGTTATTTGCAGGAATAGGGAAAATACAATATACTAAGAAATAATATTTTTGAATAAGCGATATGTCAAAAGAAAGTGGGTTTCTTATGGATTGAAATGAGGTATACAAAACTGTCATAGCTTGAAAGCTGTCAAAGTTATTTGCAGGAATAGGGAAAATACAATATACTAAGAAATTTACTCTGTACCAAAAATTGTAATGATATCCCAATTTTACCAATTTTAAGAACTTAAAACTTTTGAATAAGTGATATGTCAAAAGAAAGTACGTTTATTATGGATTAAAATGAGGTATACAAAACTGTCGTAGCTTGAAAACTGTCAAAGTTATTTAAAGGAATAGGAAAAATACCATTTACTAAAAAATTTACCCTATACCAAAAATTTGAATGATATCCCAATTTTACCAATTTTAAGAACTTAAAACTTTTGAATAAGAGATATGTCAAAGAAAGTGCGTTTCTTATGGATTAAAATGAGGTATGCAGAACTGTCGTAGCTTGAAAACTGTCAAAGTTATTTGCAGCAATAGGGAAAATACAATATACTAAGAAATTTACTCTGTACCAAATATTTAAATGATATCCCAATTTTACCAATTTTAAGAACTTAAGACTTTTGAATAAGCGATATATCAAAAGAAAGTGCGTTTCTTATGGATTGAAATGAGGTATACAAAACTGTCATAGCTTGAAAACTGTTAAAGTTAGTTGCAGGAATAGGGAAAATACAATGTACTAAGAAATTTACTCTGTACCAAAAATTTTAATGATATCCCAATTTTACCAATTTTAAGAACTTAAAACTTTTGAGTAAGCGATATGTCAAAAGAAAGTGCGTTTCTTATGGATTGAAATGAGGTACAGAAAACTCTCGTAGCTTGAAAACTGTCAAAGTTATTTTCAGGTATCCTCTGCTACGGGTAGTCACCTTGAATCTTCGGGCACTGTGCAGAGGCTTAAGCATCCTAGGATGTGAACTAAGAACTACCCTCCCCATACCTCACACCTGTGGTAGTGGTATAAACTACCAAACCCTCCCCCCCCATGAAATGTCAGAAGATAAAGATGGCCCTATATCCTTGGTCGAGGGTGCTAAAATCTCCAAGGGTAACGTGTGTACTCAGGTGGAAGCCACAGGTCTGAGTGCCACTGGAGCTACTGTGACTGCGACGATACGGACAAGTAACCCAGGTCTGGTAGTCGAAAATGCTACTGGGGTAGACAGAACGGAAAAATTTCTTACCAGACAGGACAGAGTAACCTCGGACGACAGTGACGACAATCTCTCAGGTCTGAAAGATCTAAATCTTTACGAGACTGATGAGGTGGACGTGCGCATGGTGTCCTCTCAGCCGAAAAACAGACAGGACACGGAACAGGACGAACGGAAATGGTTAGCGGGCTACAAACGCTCTTTCTGGTACGTCAGATCGCTTGACTCTAGGGATCCTGCGACTCTGACTACCGAGAAAAGCGTTTGCGGCGTAAACATACCTACCACATACAGAAGTATGAGGCCATGCTGAATACTACTGTTGTGGAGGTCAGGCCAGCCACGACTAAGACAGAACCAAACCAGAGCAGGCATGTGACCACATCTAAACATGTGCCGCTTGCCAGCACTGGACCGAACACGGTCACCGTCTCGGAGAATCTCAACGTACAGCCATCATCAAAGAAGGCCACGTCGGGACCAAAGAGAGGTGATGACCAATGCGGCATGACAAAGTCTGCTAGCACAACACCCAAGGGACTGTCTGCATCTTCCTCTTCTCGAGGTACGGCGACGGTCACAGCAAGCAGGCCCAGTATAAAGCGGCAAAGGTCAGGTGAAACGCAGGTGTCTGAGGGTAAGCGGTTGAAACCATCGACTAGCTTAACATCAGCACCTGAGCTACAAGTAGCCATCATAGACCGTAGTCATCCCGATGGGAAAATTACTACGGACAGATGGCTACTTCTGGAGGAGAAGATCTTGCGGGCACTAGTTGACGAACTCGCACGCAGTGAGGATGACTCCTTTACTGCGTTCGATGGCGCCAAATGGTCAAAGGGGGTCAAAATCATAGGATGCGGTAATGAGAAAGCCCTAGCCTTTCTCAAAAACTGCATCCGAGGAGTTGGCGAACCCTGGCCCAACGCGAAGATTGAAATCGTCCAACTGGACCAAGTACCTCTTCGTACGACGGTGAGAGTGTGGGTTCCTCCTCCTATTCTGGAGGACAAATCCATACTAACACTAATCAAGAGTCAGAATAAGGAACTTGGTACTGATGACTGGACGATAGAACGAGGACGCACGAGGGACAATGGAGAAGGTAAGGATCTCTGGATCAAATTGGTTCAGAATCCCTCCGACTCCTTCGTTCCTCTCAAGGCGTCATAAAGTACGGGCTCAACCCACTTCGGTTGATCTTGCCCGCAGAGAAACGCAGTGATGAGTCCAAGCGGCCTGAGGGTGGTACAGATTAATCTGCACCACTCCGAAGCAGCAACGGACGACTTGCTGCGCTTTATGGAGAAGGAAGTTATCCACGTGGCCTTAATCCAAGAACCCTGGCTTGCAGCCAGTAAAGTTCACGAAACTATGTGCTCCTCTCTCCAATCCCTGAAGGTAAAATAAGGAGCTGTATTTTGGTCAGGAAAGACATTAAAGTTTTCCTTCTATCTAATTACAGTTCTGGTGATTTAACGGTAGTTGCATTAGAGCGACAGGGGCTACCAACTCTAATTATATCATCTGCGTACCTACCGTACGACGAAGACAATCCGCCCTCACGTGCCGTACGCACACTAATAGAATGGTGTGATACAAGGGGCCATGATCTTGTCATAGGATGTGATGCTAATGCCCATCATACTCTGTGGGGGAGCTCGGATATAAATGACAGGGGTGAGTGTTTACTTCAATACATTCTAACTACTAACCTTAGTGTTTGCAATAGGGGTAATAGACCAACGTTTTTCAATAGGATCAGGGAACAGGTCATTGATATTACTTTGGTAGGGAACACTGACTTAGTCAGAATTCTTGATTGAAGAGTATCACTCGAGTGCTCATTCTCTGATCATCACAGAATAATCTTTACGATACAGCTTACGATGGCTAGGGAAAACCCCTTTAGAAATCCTAGGAAAACCGACTGGGTCAAATTCGGTAATCTGATTGATACCATACCACCTCCGGAAACGGATGTACTACATGGTACACAAGACTTGGACGACTCAGTAGATTATCTATCCAGGACTTTAAGGGAAGCCTACTATGCTTCATGTAGGATGCGGCAGGTACCTAGGAAATTCCGGCAACCATGGTGGAATCCTAAACTAATGCAGCTAAGGAAAGAATGTAGGAAACTATTTAATAAAGCGAAGAGGGATCAGAACCCGTTAAGCTGGGACGACTATCGTCAAAGCTTCAATACTTTCATGAGGGAAACCAGAAGGGCTAAGAAGGAATCCTGGAAGCGTTTCTGTGATGAGCTGGAGAGTACCACGGAGGCATCACTGTCTACGTAAGGTGCTATCCAAAGACCTCGGTACGCCTGGATTCCTGATGAAACCGGATGGTAACTTTACTGAAAGTAGCACCGAAACTCTGGAACTACTTATGGAGACACACTTTCCGGGTTGCAGAGATGATGAAAATGAAGGCTCCACATTGGAGCACCTCGCAGCTTCTCGAATCCGCATAAGTGAATTAGTCAGTTCCATTGTTAGTATGGAGAAAATTTCGTGGGCGGTGTCATCCTTCAAGCCCTATAAATCCCCAGGGCCAGATGGCATATTCCCAGCACTACTCCAAAAATCGATCACCACCATCATGCCATGGCTAATTATGATATTTAGGAGCAGCCTGTAAACAGGATACATTCCTAAAGTATGGAGAGAGGTTACAGTGGTATTTATCCCCAAAGCGGGAAAAGTAAACCATAGTACCGCCAAAGACTATAGGCCGATCAGTCTGTCATCGTTTTTATTGAAAACATTGGAAAGATTGGTCGACATCCATGTCAGGAACATCATCTCTCCTGATAACTTCTGTAGAGCACAACACGCATACCTGAAAGGAAGGTCGGTGGAGGCAGCCTTACATGACGTTGTCGGAACCATAGAGAAGGCACTTTACATAAAGGAATATGTTATGGCATCTTTCTTGGACGTTGAGGGTGCGTCTAACAACGTGAACATATCCGCAATAGTCGATGCACTGGGTGACCTAGGTGTCGATCAACGGATAAAAAACTGGACAGAAAACATGCTTAAGAGTAGGGCCATTAACTCTAATATGGGTATTGGCAAGACAAGGAAAGTCGTGACAAGGGGCACACCACAAGGTGGTGTTATCTCTCCACTCCTGTGGAATCTTGTCGTGAATAAAATCCTTTTCAGACTCAGTAGGATGGGCTTCAAAGTAGTCGCATATGCTGACGACGTCGTGCTCCTTATTCAAGGGAAGTTTCTTCCAACAATAAGTGAACTCATGGAATCAGCCCTCAGCGTTCTACTATCATGGGCCAAGGAAAACGGTCTGGGTGTCAACCCGGCCAAAACTGAACTGGTTCTTTTTACCAGGAGGTACAAAATTCCAGAATTCAGACCTCCGCGTTTGGATGGTACCATTTTGAACACCTCAAGCGAAGCCAAATATCTTGGAGTAATCCTAGACTCTAAACTCACGTGGAAACGTAATGCTGAGAGTCGAATGAAGAAGGCATTATGTGCCTTTTATATATGTAAGAAAACCTTTGGGAAAAGATGGGGTCTTAAACCATACATTGTGCACTGAATGTACACCGCGGTCATAAGACCTATCTTGACCTACGGAGCTCTTGTTTGGTGGAGAGCGGTGGATACCAAGACTTATTACATTCTATCTACACTGAATTTTAATAGGTCATTCAAGACCAAAATACCGACAAGGGATGATTGGGCCGCGAATACTGTCCTAAGGGATGACGTGATCTCAATCTACACAGATGGCTCAAAGACAGAAAGAGGCACGGGATTGGGAATCTTCTCCGATAAACTAAATCTTCTACTGTGTCTTCGACTACCTGACACCTGCACGGTCCTTCAGGCAGAGATATATGCCATCTATACTGCCGCGAGAAGAATCCGGGAACTAAATCTCGAAAATTCGACTATACTGTATCTGATGAATGCGCAACCAAAGGGTCGTCCCTGGACTTAACCCTTGCGCAAAAGGATATTCACGCTCCCCTGACGACCCTATCAAAACTGATAGATGAATGGGCTCTGAGTGAGACGGAACTCAGGTGGTCAAATCTCACCACTTGTAGAATATCGAGACTGCTCTGGCCCACTCTGACAACGGATAGGACTAAGACCCTCTTATCTCTTGGTAAGAACTCGATTAGGCTTCTAACTGGTATAATTACTGGGCACTGTATGATTGGACATATGTCAGAACGTATGGGCTACCCAAATCATAGCTACTGTAGAAGCTGCTTGGACGAAGAGGAAGTGGAATCGGTACAACACCTTCTATGTGACTTACAAGAGCACAGACTACTCTATCTGGGTAGAGTTCTTTTTCATGATCTAGACTGTCTCAGAGATGCGTCACTGATAAACATTATCTTTTTTATTAAAAGCACCGGCTGGTTTACATGGAGACCGAACGAACCAAGTAGTCAACGAAATTAGGGAGGGTAACCATTCTCTCATCGCTAGGGAATGGTAATTCTAATGGGCCATAAGGCCTCCGTGTGAACTCGCTTGCTAGCGAGCAACCCACGTAACCTAACCTAACCTATTTTCAGGCATAAGGAAAATACAATATACTAAGAAGTTTACTCTGTACCAAAAATTGTAATGATATCCCAATTTTACCAATTTTAAGAGCTTTATACTTTTGAATAAGCGATATTTCAAAAGAAAGTGCATTTCTTATGAATTAAAATGAGGTATACAAAACTGTCATAGCTTGAAAACTGTCAAAGCTTTTTTTTACCAATTTTATGAACTTAAGACTTTTGAGTAAGCGATATGTCAAAAGAAAGTGCGTTTCTTATGGATTTAAATGAGGTATACAAAACCGTCATAGCTTGAAAACTGTCAAAGTTATTAGCAGGAATAGGGAAAATACAATATACTAAGAAATTTACTCTGTGCCAAAAATTGTAATGATATTCCCAATTTTACCAATTTTAAGAACTTAAAACTTTTGAATAAGTGACATGTCAAAAGAAAGTGTGTTTCTTATGGATTAAAATGAGGTATACAAAACTGTCGTAGCCTGAAAACTGTCAAAGTTATTTAAAGGAATAGGGAAAATACCATTTACTTAAAAATTTACCCTATACCAAAAATTGTAATGATATCCCAATTTTACCAATTTAATGAGCTTAAGACTTTTGAGTAAGCGATATGTCAAAAGAAAGTGCGTTTCTTATGGATTGAAATGAGGTATACAAAACTGTCGTAGCTTGAAATTTGTCAAAGTTATTTGCAGGAATAGGGAAAATACAATATACTAAGAAATTTACTCTGTACCAAAAATTGTAATGATAGCCCAATTTTACCAAGTTTAATGCTATACGCACAATTGGGACGAACGACGAAATTTTCGTTACGAATTTTCGTCTTCAGATATAGAACACACTAACGTATATGAAAATACGCACAATCAGTGCGTATGGCGAAATTCGTCGCACGTGACGAACTGTGCGATAGGTTTATTTCTATTTCTTACGCAGACGATCGACGATTTAATTGGGGAAAATTGTTTTAAAACCATTTCCGGTAGCCCGAATTTGCTGAAATTTTGCGGTTGTGGGTACAGCTAATGACAATAAAATATTATGTTCGAATATTCGAAATTATATTCGAAAATTCGAAGTTATGTTCAAAAATTTTTTATGCTCCTAAAATCTCTGGGTCATAAAAACTAAAAATAAAATTTTCGAAAATTCGAACTTAAGTTCGAAAAAATTTTAAAGCCATTAAAACTAGTTGTCGTGGCCCGAATTGTCTGAAATTTGGCAATCTGGAGTACACTTGATGACACTACAATTCTATGTTGGAATATTTAAAATTAAGTTCGAAATTTGAAGTAATGTTCGAAAAAATTTTGAAGCTGTTAAAATAATCTCAAAATTGGGGATATTCACAAAAAAATTATTTTAGTTCTTTTCGAGGCCAATTTCTTACATTTTCTAATTTCGAAATAATGTTCGAATAAATTTTAAAGCTGTTAAAATTATCTCAAAATCGTGGAGATTCACAAAAATATAATTTTTGTTCCTTTTTCTTACTTTTTCCAATTTCGAACAAACAAATTTTGAAACGAATTCGCAGTACGAATAATTTGATTGTATTCCATTCGACGAATTTACGCAACGAATTTTTGTCGATTAGTTC